ACCTCTCTCCTTGAAACATCTGTGTGTGTCACCCGAAATAAAGAGAGCTCTCCTCTTTTTCTTTCAATTGTTGTTATAAACAAAGAGGATGATGCAAACATCTGTGTGGTTCCGGCGCCTCGTGGTGCGGGGAAAATGCAAGAATTGGCTAGAATGAAGAGAGAGCAAGAGATGATAGCAGAAGAAAGAGCCATTGCAGCAGCTAAAGATGCAGCCTTGATTTCATTCTTGCAAAAGATTTCCGAGCAAGCAAGTCCGGTGCAATTGCCACAAAACCCAACTCCAACTCCAATTCCTGTTTTAATTCCAAACCTACCCGAGAAAGTTAATGAGAAACAAGGGAATGATATTATTACTGAGAATTCTACTCAGGTTATTAGCTCTTCGCGGTCGAGATCGCCGGTGGCGATGTGAGGGACGGCGAGGAGGGAAGAGAGGCGGCTAGCGGAAAGTACCCGGCGATGCCGCCGTGGTTGAGATCGATGCCAGCGACGGTCAAGATCGAGGAGTTGTCTTGGTGGCGAGCTGCTTCCTCGGAGCCTTGCCTCCGGCGGAGTGAAGAAGCCCCACCGTTTCCGTCCCGGCACAGTGGCGCTGCGCGAGAGGCGAAAGGACCAGAAGAGCACAGAGCTCTTGATCCGGAAGCAAGGCTGCGTTGCAGAGCTCAAGATCATGGGTAAGTTGCCTGCGTTGCCGAGGGCGTTGATCATGGAATGAAGATGGGTGGTGGGTTGAGAGGAGAGGGTGCAGGATTGGGAGGTGCTTTGGTGTCACCAGAATGGTTATGGTGATGCCACGGAGGGCTTGTTGGTGGGTTAGGACCAGCATGGGTAACATGTGGCCTTGAGCTGGGTATGGAATATCAGGATATGAACACCGTTGATGTAAAAAAAAAAAAATTCCAGCGGGCAGCGAAGGCAAGATTGCCGGCCGGCTGCCCACCGGTGAGAAAAAATACAAACTTAAATCTTATAGCTCTGATACCATGATAAAATAGATGTATTATTGATTGATGTATTACAAGATTGATTGTTTTTTGATTTGTATGTTACAAGCTATTATATAGGAGAGGTGTGAAGAAGGTAGTAGGTGAAGTGGTAGGGGATGAAGTGGAGGTGGTAGTGGTAGGTTAGGTGAGGAGGTGAGTGTGTGTGGTAGGTAGTAGTGGGTTAGGTTTAGTAGGTGAAGTGGTAGGGGATGAAGTGGAGGTGGTAGTGGTAGGTTAGGTGAGGAGGTGAGTGTGTGTGGTAGGTAGTAGTGGGTTAGGTTTAGTGGGTTTAACAAATTCTATTACCAAAGAAAAGATGAATTAACAATACTGGAGTTTTACCAAAAGTAGAAAACAACATTTGCAAAAAATTAATTTAACCAAAAAGAATTAATCTATATCACTACAGATAAAAGAATTCTGTCTTAAAATTGTAGAAAAATATTTTCGAAAAATGAATTTAATGCAAATAAATAATAAAATAAAACACAAGAAATTTCTGACAAAAATTCTGTAAATTTAATACAGATTGTGACCGAGGCCAGTGTTTGAACATTGTGCCTTTAAGGCATTGGCCTGTCTCTAGTGCTTGCAATTAATAGACGTCTTGCCTCCATGATATAACAATCACCCCACATAAAAATTGCACAACTTTATGTATGTACAACAAATCAATTTGTGCCATGCACTCTCATATACTCAATTAGACATAATGTATGAATCCTAAAACAAACCTTAACTTATTCATGAATGCCATGGGATGTGTTGACATTTATAGAAGTATTTGTGACCTTTAGAATGGTCATGTCTCTTGAGTTCACATCCTTACATATGAATAGCCACCATGAAGGGTTACACAATTTAATTCAAATGGAGTTATTCACTTTTAAAATTTTCAACAATATATTTGTGGCAATAATGCCTCTTTATATAAAGGTTCCTTAATAGGTTTTTTACTCATTGCGTGGAGATTTGTTTTTCTCCTTATATGATGACTCGTATATTCTTTGCATGGAGATCTTCTTTATCTTTTTTAGGATCTATCTTGTACTCCGATATATTTTAATGGATGACTTAGCATTGAAAGTACTAAGTCTCATACTTTTTCATTAAAAACATTTATAATCAACTAATATTACCATATTAGTGCATAAGTAAACATAGTTTATGTGACATCTTCAACATGATTCCATTATATTAATAATTACTAGTGGTTGATACACACGATACACGAGTAATTTAAATAAGTAAAAATAAAAACCAATGATGAAAAAATTAATATTACAATACGTATCTTACTCAAGTGATAAGATCCTTAACTTTTAAATCCAGAATCTTGATTTCAAGTCCAGTGTACTTTGTTATATATATATATATATATATTAGGAGAATTCTAATATGCACATCCCCATACTATATGCATCTTTAATTATGCTATTTTCTTCTTGTTATGATCAATTTTCTTCTTTAGTTATGACATTATTTTGATATTTTTGTTAGGATTTTTTTGTATTTAGTTATGACTTTTTTTTTATTTTAATTTTTTTTTCTTTATGATTCTGAAAATATAAAATTATATCATTTTTGCTCTCATTTCTCTCCTCTAGGCCGAATGTGTGTGTGAGTGTGTTGTTTGTGTTTGCCATGCTAGGGAGTGATGGTATATTCACATGTCACATGGTATAAAAAGATATAAAGATTTCAAGACGCCAAATATGACTTTATATAATAGTATAGATAGTATATATATTATTAATAATCATATTACTTAAAATCTCCTCCTATTCTTTATTATACTCAACCTAATTGGAGAATCAAACATAATACATGTGAGATGAAAAGTCTAATTGGTATTAAAATAATTGTTAACATAAATTTTAACATGTATAGTTGGGGAAAAAAATTGGTGGGTTCTATTAGCTATATAAGATTGTGATTCTTTCTATTACATATTTATAGTAAAGATGCTCTATTACATTATTTAATAGTGAGTGTAACGATTTTATTTTTTACTCTGTTTGAATTGAGAGATGGAAAAATAAAAGAAATAATAAGAGTTTCTTAACTAGGTGAAAAAAAATAAAATGAATAATTGTGATTTCTCACCTTTTTATTTGGATGAACTATGCTTAAAAGAGTAATTTTGGGTTCTCACCATATTTTTATCACTTTCTGTGACAAAACAAAACTGAAGTTTAGTGTGATTTGGCATTCTCACCATTTTCTATTTAGGGTTCGTTTGGGAATGGCTTTTCCGGGCTTTTTTGGCTATTTTAGTCACAAAAGACAAAATAGGCTATTTTAGCCATAAAAAACAAAACATCACATCCAACCCATAATCATTACACTCTTCTCTCACAAAAAAAGTCAAAAAAGCCAAAAAGCTAAAAAGTCCTTCCCAAACCAAACTTTTTAGCCCAGGTTAAAATAGTCAAAAAAGCCAAAAAGTCAACCCACTTCCCAAACGGAGGCTTATTTCTCACCATTACTTACGTCATTAATCATCCAAACAAGTAATAAGAAATCTCATTCTCTCTATTTATTTTCTTTTTTCATCAAACTCCTCAATCCAAATAGACTGTTAATTTAAAATTTGCATTCCTATTTCAAAATCCAATAATACTTTTTAAAATTAGATAGCATATTTTTTTATGTTAAAATTAGCACCATGTACCACTATATAACTATTAGGCCTAGGAAAGCATTCATTGACCCGCAAAAACTAAATGATCCGAACAAATCTATCATAAAATGGACATTTCAATGTTCTGAGTGGACGAATGCGAATGTATTTTTTTACCTAAGTTTGGACGGATGGTAGATGGGATGATATCCGATCTAATTTGATTCGTCAGCACATCTAAGAAAATGATATTTTGCTTTTATGCTGCATATGTTAGAAAAAGATATTTTATTTAATAATTATATTTATTATTTATGAAATATGAAAGTTGGACCCTTATTTAGGCCTCGTTTGGGAAGTGGCTATTTTAGTAGGCTATTTGACTTTTTGGCTATTTTAGTTTTGTGTTTGGGAAGATGGGATGAATTTTTAGTTGAGTTGTTGTATTGGAAAGTGTGTTGAAATGATGTTTAAATTTAAAATGATAAATTTATCTCTAAAAATATATTTTTTTAAATTGATATCAAGGGGTAAAATGGTAATTTATTTATTGATGGAACAAGTGTTGTAGCTGACAGTGTATGCTGTGCCTACACTGCCGGCTGTGCAGAATAATATATATATATTTTTTTTGAAAAAGGTTCCAACAGTGTTGCTTTTGGACTAATTTCTCAAAATAGGCTATAATAGACTTATTTTGGGCTTCCCAAACAGCGCCTTGTTATTATAAAAAATGGAAAACAAAAAATTAGAGTAAAAAATTATTGAAAAATAGTTCGAAAATAGCTTACAATAGTGTAGCTCAAACCATCAAATCAATTCATATCTATTCGTTAACTTGCACAATACACATAATCCACATCTGTTAATTAAATGAATGTATGTAAATTAATTTTTTTCAATCGAACCTGATCCATAAACCCCACTAATAATTGCGTAGAATTTTTATGTGAAATTACAAATTTTCTTTTCATTTTCATTCAACTCTTTTACTCATGTTAAAGTGAATTCTACCCATATATATATATATATATATAGATAGATGTACTGTGGGTGCACGTATATGTGTGCAATTTAAATAAGTAGGAATAAAAAAAAAATATAATAAATTAATATTATAATGTGTACTTAACTTAAGTGGTATGAGTCCTTTATACTTAAACCCATGGTGCCATCTCTTTGTTTAACTTTTTTTTTAAAATAAAATACTGCACATGAGCAATGAGGATATGGGTTCAAGCCTTACCCATCTCTTTGTTTAACTTTTTTTAAAAAAATAAAAAATATTACCACATAATATGAGGAGAGTAAAGTTTCGTGACACCATAAGAGGTTCACTTTATAATAATATAGATATATATATATATATATATATTTTTGTAGAGTTTTTAAAATATCCAAACCACCACTCATCTGACCCAACAAACACAAGGTCACCTCCCAAATGCGCTTAACCATGACATCCTCAGCTCTGCCTCTACCACTCTCATCAACAACCTCTATCACCTACAGTCACATCCATGTTCACCATCTCAACCCTCCTTCATCCTCATCAAACCTCTCACTACTACCAAACTCAACCTCACACATTCACCAATGGTCTCTCGAAGACCATTCAAATCACCAAACCTCCATCAACCCACCAACCCAACCCAAAACCATTCGATACCGTCTCAGTCAATTGTGCCAAAACGGCCAACCCCACCTCGCTCGCCAACTGTTCGACTCAATTCCTCAACCAAAAACCGTTCTCTGGAACACAATTATTATTGGGTTTGTCTGCAATGGTATGCCCGATGAAGCCCTGTTGTTCTATCTCCGAATGAAGGCAAACCCTGATACCAAATGTGATTTCTATACTTACTCTGCCGTTCTCAAAGCTTGCGCCGAGACTCGCCAGCTTAAGATAGGTAAAGCTGTGCACTGCCATGTTCTTCGTTCTCATTCATGTCCCAGTAGAATTGTATGCAATTCGCTCTTGAATATGTACTCTGTTTGTTTGAGTTCAACGGATGATGAAATGGGTTCTGTAGATTCGGATATTTTGAAACACGATTTGGTGTGTAGAGTGTTTAATACAATGCGTAAGCGAGATGTAATTGCTTGGAATACTATGATTTCTTGGCACGTAAAAACGAAGAGATTTGAAGAAGCAGTTAGGCATTTTTGGTTGATGATGAAAATGGGTATAAAACTGACTGTTGTAAGTTTTGTCAATGTCTTCCCGGCTGTTTCAAGGATGAGGAGTGTTAATAGAGCTAAGTTGTTTTATGGTTTGCTTCTTAAATTGGGAAGTGAGTTTGTTAATGACCCGTTTGCATTGAGTTCTGCAATTTTCATGTATTCTGAGCTTGGTTGTCTTGATTTTGCTAGAAAGGTATTCGACCAATGTTTGGAGAGAAATACAGAGGTTTGGAACACCATGATTGGTGGATATGTTCAGAACAATCGTCCAGTTGAAGCACTTTATCTTTTCCTTAAAGCTTTGGAGCTAGAACATACTGTTCTAGATGACGTGACTTTTCTCTCAGCTCTAACTGCAGCTTCACAGTTGCAGCGATTAGACTTTGCTCAACAGCTACATGCATATTTAATTAAGAATTCATCAGTGTTATGTATCATCATACTAAATGCAATGATTGTGATCTATTCAAGGTGCAATTTGGTTGAGACGTCCTTTGAAATATTTAGTAGAATGTGTGAAAGAGATGCTGTTTCTTGGAATACCATGGTTTCTGCTTTTGTGCAGAATGGGTTTGATGATGAAGGGTTGATGCTTGTGTATGAGATGCAGAAGCAAGGGTTCATTATTGATTCTGTAACTGTAACTGCTCTTCTTTCAGCAGCATCAAATCTCAGGAACCCAGAAATTGGGAAACAAACCCACGCCTATATTCTTAGGCATGACATTCAATTTGAAGGAATGGAAAGCTATCTCATAGATATGTATGCTAAATCTGGTCTGATTGAAGCTGCACAAGGACTGTTTGAAAAGTATTGCTCGTATGGTAGAGATCAAGCCACGTGGAATGCCATGATTGCTGGGAATACACAAAATGGACTAATTGAGCAGACTTTCACCAACTTTAGGCAGATGCTCGAGCAAAATGTAACACCTAATGCTGTAACCTTAGCATCAATTCTCCCTGCCTGCCATCTGGTGGGAAGTATGGCTCTAGGCAAGCAACTCCATGGCTTTGCCATTCGCAACTGCTTGGGCCAGAATGTTTTTGTGGGATCTGCTCTGGTAGACACGTACTCAAAATTGGGTGCAATCACTTATGCTGAGAATGTGTTTTTCGCGTCCCCTGAAAAAAATTCAGTTACATACACCAATATGATATTGGGTTATGGTCAACATGGGATTGTTGAGAAAGCTCTCTTGCTATTCCACTCAATGTGGGAATCTGGCATTAAACCTGATGCCATTACCATTGTTGCTGTCTTGTCTGCTTGCAGTTATGCTGGGTTAGTTGATGAAGGTCTTCAAATGTTTGAGTCAATGGAGACACAATATGGAATTCGGCCCTCACATGAGCACTACTGTTGTGTTGTAGACATGTTAGGGAGAGTTGGGAGGGTGGCCGCAGCTTATCAGTTTGTCAAACAATTGGGTGAAGAGGGTAATAACTTGGGAATTTGGGGATCCCTTCTTGCGGCTTGCAGAATTCATGGAGAATTTGAATTGGGAAAAGTTGTTGCCAGTAAGTTGCTTCAAATGGAGAGAGGAAATAGGATGTCAGGTTATCATGTTTTGCTGTCAAATATATATGCTGAGGAAGGGAACTGGGAGTATGTTAACAGAGTGAGGAAAGGGATGCGAGAAAAGGGTTTGACAAAGGATGTTGGCTGCAGTTGGATTGATATTGCTGGTTTTGTGAACTGTTTTGCGTCTAGAGATCAAAAGCACCCCCAATGTGATGAAATATATCAAACATTGGAAGAATTGGCAATAAAGATGAAAGATGCTGGTTATAGGCCTTGTCCAGATTCAGAAATAGGCTGGATTTCTGAGTCTGAGGAATGAATAACACTTCGTTTTTTATTCAGATGGCACATGGGTACACAATTGGGAGACTAATCACTTCATAGTATATCAACTGCATCAACTAGCCTTGGGAAAAAGGCTTGGCTGAGGGGTGCTGGGGCTTTTTGATTTAAGTTGATACGGAATCTTGGTTCCTTTGACTGTGGGACTATTTTCCCAACATGACTTTTATTGCCTTATCAAAGAGATTCCTTCCCATCCTGCTACCTGGTGCCTCCCAACCACTTAGGTACGCATTCTTTGGGGATGACATTTTATTTGCTGACATTCATCAAAGAGTAGATTTATTTTATTTTATGGTCTTTCTTTATCAATTAACCTAGACCTTAGGAGGCCAGTTTGACCATGGTGGGGAATGTGCCTAGTGAGCTTGGATATTGGACTGGTTATTTAGATACTTTCACTATCACCTCTGACCGTAGGTGATTAGTTTAACCCTTGTGAGGGAATGAGCCTAGTGAACTAGTTACCTTGATATTGAACTCGTTATTTAGACAATTCCACCACCACCCTTGATCTTAAGATGATTTTTTTTTTTTTTTAATGTTTTTGGGGGGGGGGGGGGGGGAGGAGAATTGGACTAGTCGCCTGGATATTGGACTAGTTATATTCAAACATTTCCACCACCACCTTTGACCATTGTGGGGGAATGCCTCTATTGAGCTAGACGCCTAGATTATAGACTGGTTATCTAGACACTTCCACAATCAGCTTCGACCGTAGGTGATTAAATTGACCATGGTGGAGGATTGCCCCTATTGAACTAGTTGACTGGATATTGGACTGGTTATTTTAGACACTTCTACAACCACCATCAACAGTAGGTCATTAGTTTGACCATTGAGGGGAATGTGCCTATTGAGCTATAGTCGAATGGATATTAGACTACTTATTTAGACACTTCCACCGCTACTCTTGATTGTAGGTGATTAGTTTGACCATTATAGGGGAATGCACCTATTTTTGATAACTCGGTATCCAGCCCATTGGAAATTCAAGGATGACTTTCAGAATGGTACCTTAGAGAATATTGTTCAATATTAGTACTCGTGTTTGTGATGGGACTCATTTTGTATTGAGGTTGCCAGAACATTTTAACTTTCCTTCTCTTTCTACTACTAAACTAAGGCATATTTAGAGTGGTGGTCTCAGTTTTATCTGGACTGTTTCTCTAATAGAGAGAAATCTATCCCAAGGGGTAAACGCCCTACTTCACTAAGGCTAAAAAGTGTGTAATTGCTGAGCAATGCTCTAATCTCAAGTCAAGAAAGTGATTTGAGGAGGAATTAGTGAACTACTTGGTGAAGTAGTGGATGACGAAAATTAATAATCTAGTGTAAACCACAGAGGATTGTAAAACCAAACCAAGCCTTAAGTCCCATCAAATGAGATCGGTTATATGAATCTTTTTTCTCCACGCGGCTCTATCAAAGGTCATTTCGTTAGTCAAATTAGGTAGATCCATATCTCTATTTATAACGCTAGCCAACGTTAATCTAGGCTTACCTGGTCCCCTAATACTTTCATCTACCGTCACTGTATCGCATCTCTTCACTACTGCCTCTGTTGGTCTCCGTTGAATATGACCACACCATCTTAATCGATTCTCTCTCAACTTATCGTCTATCAGTGCTATTCCTACCCATTCTCAAATATACTCATTCTTAATTTTGTCTTGTCTAGTCTTGCCACACATCCACCTCAGCAACACTTATCTTATCTACATGTTGTTTCTTGGTTGCCCAACACTCTGTCACATAGAACATCGCAAGTCTAATAGCCATTCTATAGAACTTACCTGTTAGTCTAGTGGGTATTCGTTTATTGCACAGTATCCCAGACGCATTTCTCCACTTAAGCCATCCTGTCTTAATCCTATGGGCCACATCCGCATCAATCTCTCCCGCCGTTTTGATAATCGACCCTAAATAACGAAAATGTTCACTCTTAGGCAGTTCTTGGTTCTCAATCTTCACTTTTTTTCTGCTTGCATTGTTACTGTTACTAAATTTACACGCCATGTACTCTGTCTTAGGTCTGCTTATCCGGAATCCTTTAGATTCAAGTGTTTTTTTTCCAAATCTCCAATTTTGTGTTAACTCCTTCTCTAGTCTCATCCACTAATACGATATCATCTACAAACAGCATACACCATGGCACGCCATTTTGAATATTTTTTGTTAACTCATCCATAACTAAAGCAAAAAGATAAGGACTTAAAGATAGATCTTTGGTGTAACCCTACAGTGATAGGAAATTCATTTGTCTCTTCAGCAGGCGATTTAATAGTGGCCACCACCCCTTCATACATGTTCCTAATCACATCAATGTAACCTTTTGTCACCCCTTTCTTCTCTAACACCCACCATATCATATCCCGAGGCACTCTATCATATGCTTTCTCAAGGTTGATAAACACCATATCAATGTCTCTTTTCTTTTCTCTATGTTTTTCTGTTACTCTCCTCAAAAGATAGATCGCTTCCATTGTTGACTTGCCAGGCATAAACCCAAATTGATTATCTAACACCTCTATTATATCTTGCAATCAGCGTTCCATCACCCTCTCCCACACTTTCATTATATGACACATTAACTTGATTCCTCTATAGTTGCAATTCTGGACATCTCCTTTATTCTTATAGATTGGCTCTAAAATACTCTTCCTCCACTCATCAGGTATCATCTAGTCAACAAAATTTTGCTAAATAACCTATTCAACCAAGCAACCCTCTTCTTACCCAAAAACCACGAACGACCTAATCTAATAATAATAAAAAAAAAATGATGTATTCATATGAACTACATTTTGACTTGATCTTTTCCAAGGATACATAGGTAGCTTAGGAGTATATCTCAAGACCAATCAACCAAAAAAAACTTGTTCTCTTCCAAGGGTATGTAGGTAGTTTGGGAGTCTATTTCATGTTCAGTCAACCAAAAGAAAAGAGAAATCATTCAATCACTAAGATGTGTTAAGTTGCCAATTGTCCCCAAAGCTTGATATACAATCTCTTCCAAGACTGTGAATGACTGATAAATCAATAAAAGAACTTTTGTTTAATGAAGTGTTTTACTTTGATTTCACATAATTAGAAAAAGGCGGCAAGTTACATCGAAGTTGAAAAAAAAGAAGAAAAGAATCATGGCAACCATGTTAAACTCTGGATCTCACCTTGGTCGGCTTTCAAAAACTTCTCTAACTTGTTGGTGACTTTGATATCTTCACTCTTTATCACCTCAATGGCCTCTATGGTAGCTTGTTCTTCTCTCAAAGTGGAAATGACAATTCGCCTTTGAACTACCTCGGCATCAACAACATTAATTGAAGCCTCAAGTTGCTGTGACTGATCATCTAGAGCATGGGTATTTATCAAAAAGAAAAAAAGGGTAGAGCATGGGTAATGTGCTGATAGACAACACTTAAACACTGAATCTGCAACTTTGAAGTAATCCCTTGAGCAAAGGCTGTAGAGACATACTTAGCAACATTTTGCATGTCTTTCTCAATATGACTTTGTAATGGAAAATAGTCAATGTGAAGCTTTGAGAGCCCTTCATAAAGTTCTTGGAGCCTCGGGCCTAATGATGGAGCTTTCTAAATAGGAGTTTTAGTCATTCTGTCAAGTGCCAAAGTCGATTTATCGACTGGTTTAACCTTCCTGCCCATGGGGTTGACTTTCTCAACAAGCTCTTAATATGTCTGTCAAGTATCAAAGCTTCTGAATGGTTTGCACTGAGAATCATGCACCTAATATCAATGGTAGAAGCCCCAAAAGGCGCAACTTGACTCCACATGGGAGCACTGGGTAGAGACCAGGCTTGGTTTATTTGAGTGATTTAACCAGAGGACTACTCTTGTGTCCAATCGCCGAATCAAAGGTTCATGGCCTTTGAACTGTTGCCTCATTGTTAGAGAGCTCATCAAGATGATTCATATTTTCGTCTCTAGACTCTAAATCAAAGTCATCCTTTGGCAACTATCAAACCGAGTTAAAGGGTTGTCATAAGAACAAATATGGATAGAAGTGATAATTAAATTGTCAAGAATGACAAATAACAATCTTTGTTCTTTCTAGTGCTTCATTAGTTGTTAGGTTGGGAAGTGCTAAGAATACATGGCAAGAAGGAATCCGCATCATCAAATATAACAATGCTCCCTCCAACAGTGCTAGTACTAGACTTTTTCCCAAGGTGATGCCAATTGTGGTCATCATTGCTTTTTTCATCATCCACTACTTTAACAGGGATCCCACTAATGCATCCTCAAATCAGTTTCTTGACTTTGAGATTAGCCTTAGCTATCTGTTGATTTGGTGAAGGCGTTTACCCCTTGGGATAGACTTGTCTCTGTTAGAGAAATAGTCCCCGTATAGTCAAGAACGCCACTCCGAATATGTCTTAGTAGTGGAAAGAGATGGAAAGTTAAAATCTAAGAAGCACAGACACAGATACAGACACGAACACGGACACAGATGTGGATACGGGACACGACAATTTCAAAAAAATGGGGGGCACAGACACAACAGAGACATGACATAAAACATGTTTTATTTGTTATCTAGATTAATATTACATCTATAAACAATCAATATTAACAAAAACTAACTCTAATTCTTTTTTTTTTTTTTAATTTAAAAAAGCACTTTTAAATTAACATTTATAGTTTATATATATATATATATATATTTTCTGGATGATCTATTAAGTACTTAAATTTAAGAAAAAAATAATAAACATTTAACATTCATCAAAAACACTAAATAAAATGGGAGAAAAGACAACTTGGCATGTCCCTAGTGTGTCCCCTAAAAATAAATTAATTAAATAAGGAGACACGCCATGTGATGTGTCCCATACGTGTCACCGACGTGTCCGTGTGTCCGACACGGATATGTTTTGAAGTATCAATGCTTCATAGGTTAAAATGCTCTGTCAACCTCAATACATAATATAAGTCCTATCACGAACACCAGAGTACCAATATTGAACAATACTCTCTAGGCTACTAGTCCAAAGGTCATCCTTGAGTTTACTCGGGATATCTTGATAAAAACCAAACTAACTCCTAAACCTATTAGGACTGTACGATTCATTGATCACAGTAGAACCACTCTACAAAGTCAAAAGGCTTGATCAAATATTGATAAAATATTGAAAATCCGAATTAGAAAGTTGGTAATCATTAACTAACACCTTGTTTTTACCTTCTCCATATGCCAAACGATG